ATTACAGTTACCAAAGTGTTAATGACTTTCTCGTCTAACGCCGACATTGCCTTGTTCGGTGCTTTCATACGTCTGAGGAACAAGGCGTTCCACTTCTGCCGCAAATGTAAAAATAGTTGAGCCGTTTCAGGGTCAAGTTTAAACACCACCCAATCATCAAGTTTAAAAATGGTTCCTTCATGAAATTCATCAACCTCTGAATCCGATTCACTTTCCGGTACAGCTGCAAACACAGTAGCAATATTTTTGTGCACACACAAATGTTTTACGTTATAAAAAGAAAATACACCGTGTGCATATGTGAAGTTGCTCACCTTCAGCTTCGTAGATTACATCCATTGGTAATCTAGCTGGTCCACTAAATAATGCTACAGTTAATGGATTCACGACTGTAACGACTTTCACGTGACAGAAACGTCCTGTACGACTCATTTCCTCATAAAGCAGCCAGTCGCACGGCAAGGATTGCACATTGGTACAATGCGTTTGCGCTGACGTCATCCTCGAAGATTTTGGATAATCTCTTAACGTTGACGAGGGATGAAAGAATACCTTGACCTCTTTCCTGTAATAGAGTATCAACAGCAATGTTAAAAACAGTACCAGCAAATCATCCAAACTTCTTGAATGTAATAGTTGTACATACTGTGTCCGTAGTTGCATGTGCTCCCGATCAACTCGAATTAAGTTGGGATACAAGCCCGCGGTCAAGGCCGCTTTCACGACAGCCCAATTTTCCGAATTCGAATTTAAGTCTCGAATGTCCCCGGGGCTTCTGGCTCTGACAAAGCCAGACGCGCGCAACTGTCCGAGAAGCTGGGTACGCATTCCAACTACCATCTCCATCACGGGAGCAGAGATGAAATTTTTCTCGCAAAAGGCGCGTTCCTTGCCGGTTGCTCTGGCGTTTTGCCAGCCTTGGAACGCTCGCAGGACTACCATATGATCAGAGTACGTTCCGGTGGCAAATTTTTTTCGTGCCGCGGTCAAAGCTCTCTTTTGCGACGGTTGTGATGGTAATATAAAAGGATCTCTGCAATAATTTTTTTTATACATAAAAACAATTGTAAATAATAATTTACAAGCACTATAATCATTATTTAAATATATACCTACTTGTATGCTAAACTACAAACAATTGTTAAAATGGGATCCAAACATTTGAGGACAACGGCATATAACAGCATCTTCCCGAGTCTTGGTTCAATTGGTAAATCTAGTAAATGACTGCCTAACTCAGTTAAATCTTCCCACGGATCTAATGCATCGATTGTCTTTAATAATTGTACTGCGTTCCTGGTGACTACGTTAGACGGCGGCTCCAGAGCTTTATCCAGAAATTCAGCTATAGGTGTGTTTCCCGACGTTAAATGTTTCGTGTATAAGCAGAGTTCTTGCAGCGGTAATCGTAGAATTTCAGGTGTTTGATAAGCCTGCATGTTATTGTACCGGATCGAAGAGAACAAACGATAGCAGATTCCTCTCCTGCATCTCCCCGCTCGACCTTTCCGTTGCTTTGCACAAGCTTGAGATATCCAGTTGGAAGTCAATGTACAAACACTTGATATAGCATCGAAAGACTTTTCTTTAACTTTTCCAGAATCAATGACATACACGACATCGTCGATTGTAATGCTGGTCTCTGATATATTCGTGGAAAGGATAATCTTTCGCGTGCCCTGAGGACTAGGTTTAAACACCTTCTTCTGATCGCAAGTCTGCATGTTCGAGTGAAGAACGAACAAATTGTAGCGTAAACCTTGATTCATCTTCTTGTCTTCTGCATTAATTTTTTCTTTCACTGTGACTATATCGTCGTATCCTGGTAAAAATATCAAAATAGAGCCGGCAGGCATTTTTAAATGAATGTAAAAGACCAATTCTAATAATAGATCATAATCGATATTATCGTCGTTAAACGTATGATGATATACATCGAGTAATAATTTATCTTCTTCGGAGAGCGATGTCTCCGTGACTTGCGCCAGTTCGTTATTCGGTACCACACAATCGTAAGTTTTCATGTAAGCTTCGATTAATTCAGCACATTCGGTATGATTCCTGTTCTTTGCCCAGTCTAACGCGGTCCAATCGTTAGCAGACCTCAAATTGAGATTCGCACCTAGATTTAGAAGTTGCTCAGTTGTGTTTATGCAACCTCTAGCTGCGGCAGCCATCAACGGTGTTATAAAAGTCTCCGAATGCTGATAATCTACAGAAACATTTTCAGATAGTATAAAATGTAAAAGTTGCGCAAAATTATCCTCTCTACCGTTTACCCATGCATCGAAAATACTTTTGTCCATTTCCTCTATCAGCCAGGGTTCTAGCTTAACTTTCTCCGGTATAGGATCGTTTTGCTGGGCTAAAATTGGAGCAGGTAATAAACTCTTCTCACTTTTGGTACTTTTATTTGAATGCTGAGGCTTGTATTGTTTCCAAGATTCCAAAGTCTTCTGTTTATCTTTCCACTTTAAAAATTCCTTCTTCTTTACAAGCATTTCCTTCGTCATGTAACAGGTCATTTTTAAAATATCTTCCAAAAAGTATGCATCCACGTCGTATGATCGACCAGGAACGTTAACAACTACGCACTTATTGAAATACTTGGCAAAGATAGTAGTATCCATCGTGGCGCTCATAAGTATCAGCTTCAAGGAACGATATTTAACCAATGCATCTTTCAAAGCTATCAAAAGGAAGTCACAGAATCTGTCACGTTCGTGAACCTCGTCAACAATGATGTGCGTGAGCGTAGTTAAAGCGGAATCGCCGCCCATTAAAGTCCTAAGCAATACTCCATTCGTACAGTACGTTAGAAGAGTTTTAGGAGCTACTCTACTTTCCAATCTTATCTGATATCCGAAAGTCTGGCCGATTTTTTCGTCCCTTTCGAACGCCACTCTCTCGGCCACAGATACTGCCGACAAGCGCCTGGGCTGTGTGCAAATGATTCTACAAGGTTGATGCTTCTGTTGATAGTGTTCCAAGATATATTGTGGCACCTGCGTGGTTTTGCCACATCCGGTTTCACCTGCTATTATGATCACTTGATGATTGCCTAGTGCACTAAGAATTTCCTCCCTCGCGTTAAAAATTGGCAGAGATTTTCGGAACTGCAGCACATCAAAATTAGTTTTTAATTGAGGAACTTGTGGTATGCTGTTGTTTAACCTTCCCATAGCCTTAGTATTCGTATTTACTGCAAATAGTGAAAATATCTTAAAATCATGATCAGATATTAGGGCGGATAAGTAATTGTGTTAAATGCATTCTACAATTTTTACAAATAATTAAATATGAAAAAAATGATCGATAAGAGATTGACCTACGATCTAAATTTTGCGTACCATCATTATTAAGAGGGCGTTCTCTTTCAATCGGAGGAAGCAAGTCTTGGCATTCCTTGTGATTTAATGGGAAAGTCTGCATTAAATTATATATACCCTGCTTCGAATGTTTCTGCAATTTTATCACAGCGTCAGCTTGAACTATTGTTGAACCTTCTCTCTTGTACACTGTCAAAAACCGATTTGTACCTTTCCTATAAAGTAGAATTAGTGTGAGTTTATCGTAGAGAAGACAGAAGTAACGTAGCATGTTTATTACTCATCGTACCCTCGACTTTTTGACTTCAAGCCAAGTTCTCGAGCCAATTCATGGATGTACGCCCGCTCCTCTGCTGTGTACGACGATGGAAACTCCAGCTCCTTCTGATCCGGACTGCTCAACAATTTTTTTACAGTCAAGTTCACTGCGATTCGGGTATCTTCCCCGATGGGGCGATGCCTTTGCTGTTTCCTTCGCAGCATAGTGGATACTTAGATCACCTATCACCAACAAGTCAACACTGACAACAATCCGTGATGGTTCAACTCCTGGCTGTTAACGTCAATTCACATGTATGTGATATCTTTATTGTTAAAAGGTCTGTCTTTTATTTCTGCATTAGAACTGCACGAGAACTCTCTTACTCACTTTCGTCAAACATATACCTATCTCACTTTAATTCCAAAAGTGTATATCAGTTCAGTCACAGAAAACAGACTTACAATGCTTCCGAGAATCTTAAAAAGTCTACAAGGTTAAACAACGTTCTGCCTTTTGCGTTTTAATGAAATATACAAGTCAATTGCAAGAGGCATAAAAAAAAGAATTGCTCATAAATAATTCATAAAGTATAAATACCGGTGTGCATTTTCTCGGTCAATTTACCATCTATACAAAAAACATAAGTCTCTCTGGAGAGCTCTGCGCTCCGAGAATCGAGAAAATTGGACGATCGCCGGGCGCATCACCAGCCGTTTTCCATTCCTCCCCCCATCGCCCCTCTCCAAGATCGAAATAAACAAAGAAGAACGGGAACGAACTCGCCTGCCTACCTGATGCTTACCGATTTGGAGCAACAAACGTCGAAGGTCATGAAACTTGCTCCGACTACAATGACCCGCTCGTCCTGGCGAAGCGTTGCGCGGACTCGCGTTCACTTTGTGACTACGTGAGCCGCGTTCACCTCGCCTGGGAGCGCATATATCGGTTATACATTTGGGGGAGGTAACACCAAACGTAAAGAACGTATCGCGCTACCGCAGCGAAAAGTGCAGAGAAAGAGAAGTGATCGGCTGACCGGGTAACGAAGGAGGGGATATTTAAGTCGGCCGTCAGCACCACCTGCACTTCGCAACGGCACACGCTTGTTCCGGATGCTCCGCGGATAAGAGATCGACGTTTCCCGGAACCCGGACGGTAGTCCGCAAGACCGCAGGCCTCCAGCTCCGCGTGTATCAACGCGAGAGAAAGAAGGAGAGATGCGAAGGATCTGGGAAGATCGTCTTCGTTGATTCTTAATTTTTTTTTCTGTTTATGTCAACCGCAAAGTTTTCTCAACGTTGAGATTCTCGCGAACGTTCCGCGCGAATCGAAACGGTCCGCTTCGCGGTGAACGCGCGCGCAGCGGCGACGCTGGCGTCGCGACGCCGACACGGTGCGCATTGCGCGAGTACGCCGTTTGACAGCTCGATCGCGGTGCGCGGTACGTGCGTACGTAGATACGTGCTCTCCCCCGCGCGGTGATCGTCTTCTACGCGCCGCAACTCTCTTCGTGTGTCTGTGTCACGGAGCGGAGTGGACTCGCGCGACCGGGAGAGACGGCAAAAACCTACGGGAGAGAGCCTCGCCGTACTCCCGCCGGGTCGTTGCCCCGCACCGGTGACGACTATGTCGGCGAGAGGCCGCGACGCGGTTCTTGGGCTCGCCGGCACTCGCGCTGGTACGTGATCGCGACGCGTCGGGATCAGTTGTGATGTGCCTAAACGCGGACGCGGCTACGCGGTCGACGTGCGTGGAAATGACATTCGTGCATCCCTCGTGGAGTTCCTACGGTTGAGAGCACCTGCAAGAGCGTAAGAGAGAAAGAGAGAGAGAGAGAAAGAAAGAAAGAGATAGAGCGTGGGAGAAGACGGTAGTAGGAGAGGCGAAAGGGAGAACGTTCTTCCTTCCGTTTACTCCGGCGGTGCCCGCGGCTGATTTGAGCGAGAAAGAAACGAAAGGCGACCGGCCGATCGATGTTTTATTTGTGATGGGAGTGCCTGCGCGGGGAGCACTCGCGGCGATCGTGGCGATAACCGCGCTCGCCGTGTACCTCAACAGCCTCGGCTGCGGCTTCGTCTTCGACGATATCTCGGCGATCAAGGACAACCGCGACCTCAGGCCCCACACGCCCCTCAAGAATGTTTTCTACAATGATTTCTGGGGCACCCCGATGCACAAGGTGCGAGAGAGAGAGAGAGAGAGAGAGAGAGAGAGAGAGAGAGGGAGCGATCGCGTGAGGGAGGAAGCGAGAGCGAGAGAGGGAGAGAAAAAGAGGAGGCATCGTCCGACCCCCGTTGCTGGAGGACGCGCGGCCGAGATCTCCCTCTTCCCCCCCCCGCCCCCCCCCTCCTTTCCCCTCACCCTCTTCTATAGATGGCCCCCTGCGTATTGATCCGCGAGCGTCCTGTCCATTTCATCCCGATCCGATCCCCCGTCCTGTCTTCTTCCGTTTCCCTCATTTTCCGTTCCCCCGCGCACCGCGGAGTCGTTCGATATGGAGCGGGGATCGAAATCGACGTGGCCTCGAAAATCTCGAATTTTTGCCTCTCGCATCAGTACGCGAGAATGATCCCCCGTGTTTGCTCTTGACGATTGGCAAATATTAGATTTTTACTTATCTTCGCTCCTCGACAATTGATGTCACTGGAATTCTATCGATTTCAAGAGCACTGAATCGGTTCTCTCGAAATCGACGTATTTAGTTTCGAGAAATTCAGATTTAAAACGCACGTTAATTTCCCGAAAAGTAAATAGATAATTATCTCCTATTTTTCCATATGTTAACAAATACATATTTTTCTGTATCTATAATATCGATAATAATATTACAATTTATATCAATTTAACAAAACAGAATAAACTATTATGTCGACTTACATTGTAAATAAAAAAGATGCGAGAAAATTTTATTTTAGTATAACAGCAATGCTATTTTAAAATTATACTTGATAATTTTAACGGCATTAAATTTTTTTATCATCGTCGAGCACGTTGATTAATTTTTTTTACCATCGTTCGTCGAACCCGCACAACATACAGATTGGTGACTATATTTATTCAACTTGATAAAAAATATCTTGATTTAATTTAAAACGAAATATTTGAGGTTTTAGATAATCGAAAAAAATTGTAAAAGATAGAGAATGCATGCAATCTGCAATTTTGTTTTGTGATTTTTGTCATCTACAATTTTTTAATTATTTATGAAGAAAAAAATATATTGTTAAAGGTATAAAAACTTCAAAATTATTTGAATAAAAAATATATTTTTTACTCTGAATAAGAAAAAATCGAACAAGTATGAGCTATATTATTTGGGTATTATTAAAAAAAATTATTTGATATGTGTAGAATATCTGCAGAACATTATCTTCCTAGATAGACTTTTTTCGTATTCATCTTTTAACAATAATTGCATCAAAAGTGTTGCATTAAAATTGCTCCAAGTTGATCAATTATTTTTCTCTTTTTTTTAATAGGAACAATCGCACAAGTCTTATAGACCTCTTTGCGTTCTCACATTCCGATGGAATTACCTGATTCATCAACTAGATCCTATGGGATACCACCTGCTAAATGTTATTCTACATGTTGGAGTATGCCTATTATATTTCAGGTTGGTTTACATCAATTTTTTATTTTATTTTACAACATTACTGCAGACAGAATTAAAGAAAATTATTTCTGTAAGGCTTCAGATAATAGAAAAAAAAAGAAATAGCAGAAAAATTGTTTACAGGACCTGTTTGATGTTTCTGCCAGAAGCAGCAAGTTTTGTGTCATCTTTATTTTTTGCTGTGCATCCTATACACACAGAAGCAGTATGTAATAACATTTTAATTATTTTGAAAAGACATTTTAATTGTTATTGCAAACGATTGTTATTGGTAATGCGGCCATAATTATATTCCTAGGTCACAGGTGTAGTTGGTAGGGCAGAAACTTTGTCCTCCTTATTTTACCTGGCAGCTTTAATCACATATACTAAATGTTGCAAAAGCAAAAGATCTACAGGGTGGAAATCCTTGATATTATCTATGTTTTTTGTATTTACTGCAATGTTGTGCAAGGAACAGGGAATTACAGCAACTGCAGTTTGTGTACTGTATGAAATTTTTGTTGTACAGAAGGTAAAAAACTTATTCCATGTGTGCATTCATTATGGAACGTGTTTTCTATAGTAAGATTATACTAATACTTGTAACTTTATTCAGGTTAGAGCAAGGGATATTTTCTTAGCACTAAAATCGGCTTTTGGTGGTAATAAAATTTCACCTGCATGGTCAGGCGAGGGTACAAAACGTTTGACCGCCCTTACACTTGTTACATTTAGCCTGCTTATCCTACGGTTACATATAATGGGCTCAAAGTTACCTGTATTTACCAGGTATAGTTGTATATATATGTATATGATTTACGTGTAATTTTATTCATAGTGTAAACTAATGGCGACGTGAACACCTTTAGATTCGACAATCCCGCATCGGTTGCTACAACACCAACAAGACAGCTTACGTATAATTATCTTGCTGCAGTGAATCTAAGACTGCTATTTCTTCCAAGTGATTTGTGCTGTGATTGGACAATGGGGACGATACCATTAGTAGAAAGCTTTACCGATGTCCGTAATCTCGCGACCCTAGCTACTCACGGAACTGTACTAGGATTGCTTGTGACAGCTGTTGTAACACGTAGCAGACAAACGTCAGTCATTCTTATTATGGTCAGTAGAACGTTGCACAATTAAATCTATATATAATCTAATAGATCCTATTGAAAAAAATCACACAGTTGCATGATAAAATCATGTAATTAAAACATGTAAATCACGTACTGATTTGGAACAATCTGTTACGTGATTTACATATTTTAATTACATGATTTCATCATGTAACGTTATGATATGATTTTTTTTCAGTAGGAGAGAATATAAGTAATTGAGTAATCGTATGTGTTTGTGGAATAAAATGTGCATGTACTCTACTTGAAATTTTGTATATACAGATTCTGTAATTAACAATACTAATATCTAATATGTTTCCAACATAATGCCTGCAGAGTTTGGCTATGATGATACTCCCTTTTTTACCCGCGTCGAACCTTTTCTTTCCGGTCGGATTTGTAATTGCTGAAAGAGTTTTTCCATGGGGTTTTGCATGCTTATTGGATATGGATGGAGTATTTTGGCAGACAAAAAGTAAGTTGACTCGTCCGTGGACGTAACGTTGTGTGGATTGCTTTTGTATATAGATTATGGAAAATATTTTTCTCACATAAACCATCTTTCAGATGCAAGAAGCTAGTGTTACTTTTACTCGTAACACTTCTGGCCGCGCATACGACGAAAACATTTGTCAGAAATTACGATTGGTTAGATGAATACTCAATATTCATGTCTGGTTTAAAAGTGAACGAGAGAAACGCTAAACTGTTTAATAACGTGGGTCACGCGTTAGAGAGTCAAGGTCGTTTTAAGGAAGCATTAAATTTTTTCAATATGGCTGTACAAGTTCAGGGTGACGATATTGGAGCACACATTAATGTCGGAAGAACTTACAATCATCTAAAAATGTTCAAGGAAGCTGAAGACGCGTACTTGAAAGTAAATAATAACAGTAAATATCTATAATTTATCTAACTCTTTCGGTAACTCTTTTATTTCTTTTTTTCTAGGCCAAGTCATTATTACCAAAAGCGAAACCGGGAGAATCTTATCAAGCACGTATAGCACCAAATCATTTAAATGTGTTTGTTAATTTGGCTAACTTGATAGCTAAGAATGCAACTAGATTAGAAGAGGCTGATTTATTATACAGACAGGCCATCAGTATGCGTGCGGATTATACTCAAGCATATATTAATCGTGGCGATGTTTTAATTAAACTTAATCGTACAAAAGAAGCTCAAGAAGTCTATGAGCGAGCACTATTTTATGACAGTAATAATCCTGATATCTATTATAATGTAAGTATTGAGTTGCTGCCTGATATTAATAAGAATACAATATAAATATTAAATAATATTAAAAATATTTTTTTTAATTGATTACAAATTTAAATTATTGAAATTTCCACAGCTTGGTGTCGTATTTTTGGAACAAGGGAAAGCATCCCAGGCTCTGGCATACTTGGACAAAGCTTTAGAATTTGATCCAGAGCATGAACAAGCGTTACTGAATTCCGCTATACTACTCCAAGAATTAGGACGGGCAGAATTACGTAAAGTAGCTAGAGAGAGACTGTTGAAACTTTTACGAAAGGTAATCGCGTCTTTTTTTTCAATGTTCTTTGAACTATGATTATATCATTAACTTATGGACTGTCATAGACTTATATAATACTTTTCCCTAATTACAGGATTCTAACAATGAGCGCGTACATTTCAATCTGGGAATGTTGGCCATGGATGATCATGACAGCGGTAGCGCGGAGCGTTGGTTCCGTAATGCCGTCGCACTAAAAGAAGACTTCCGCTCTGCATTATTCAATCTCGCGTTACTTTTAGCCGATGAACAACGTCCGCTCGAAGCGGCGCCGTTTCTGAATCAATTAGTCAGATTCCATCCAGATCATGTGAAAGGCCTAATTCTTTTGGGAGATATTTATATCAATAACATAAAGGATTTAGATGCTGCGGAAAATGTAAGATATATTACACGAAACTTATTTTTTTTTAATTTACTTTTAGAAGTATATATCCAGTTCATACTTTAATGTAAACAACAGTAGAAGATCGCGTATGTCAATAATTCTAGAGATATAACATCAGCGCGATTGTTTCAGTGTTATCGTAGAATACTGCAACTGGATCCCACAAACATTCAAGGACTGCATAATTTATGCGTCGTGATGGTGGAACGGGGTAAACTAGGCTTAGCGGCGCAATGCTTGGAACGCGCTGCCGCTTTAGCGCCACATCAGGACTACGTACACAGGCATCTTTCGATCGTGAGGACCCGTATTAGTCGTCTACCGCCAGATCAACGCGATAACGATATCTTTGACGATTCTTTCTGGAGCAGCAATGTGAAGGATAGGCCTTTCAATACCGAGTCATCAAACGGACAGTTTCTAGGAAAGACGGATTCCGTTTTCGCGAATCACGCAACAGTTCACAATCACATAGGAAGTAAGCAGAGCAATACCGATTCCCTGAATAATCACATTATACATTTGAAAGGTCCATCAAAGCCTGCCCGTGCGATGAATGGCGTCGGTACGGAAACGAAGGACGGACAGCGACCCAAGCAAACGACGGTCCCAGAACTGACTAATATCGTGGAACCTACTACGGACAGGGTTTTCGATAGGATTATAAGCGCTGACGTAACAAAACTAGATATCACGCAGAAACACGGCTCGAAACACACGAATTCCGATCAATTCAATCAGAGTGCCGCCGCGACTGTAAGCGGCAAGCAAGGAATTCAGCAGACAAAAGACAGTGCGTTGTCATAGTATTAATGTAAAATCCGCCGAATACTGTAAAGTTATGCATATAACGAAAAGTTATGGTGGTACAGTCATATAGAGCTAATGTGTGAATATGGAATAAATACAGAGTATTGTTTTATATGCTGTATAAAAAAAATAGGACGTTTTATAAAATATATTTAAAACAGTCGTGTATTTTTTGTTTCCCTCATGTGTACACTTTTCTCCTCTACTAGTCTTATTGTGTCCTCATATTTTCAAAAATTTAAATATTTTACAATATAATTTTAAATTGAAGATGCTTGAGAAACAAAAAGTTGCACCCCAATTTCATTAAATCTTCTAATAAATATAGAATCATGATTTCTCAACAACGTTATGTGTCTTTTAAAATTATAATTTATTCGAGTTTTATGTTTAACAATTTCATTATTTTTTATTAAAATCCCTAAATAATAGTTCTAATTTTTATGAAATTCCGATTTTAAGATGTATGTTACCTTTTATTTGTAGTTGCATTTTATTTGTAGCGTTTCACACAAAAATTCGTATGAAAACGATTACACTACAGTAATTATAGTAAAAATCAGATTCAATTATATTTATTAACTCCTTTTTGTATACGCGCGAAATTTCACAAGAATTCACATATAAATTTCGTATCGCTTTTATTTTTTTTTTATCAATATATACACACATATAAACAAAGTTTATTCGAAAGGTCATCGTCCGATCGTCAATTTAGTCCATGCATTACCTGCAACTTATTATCGATTGCAGCACGAAAGCAAGCCGTTGCGGGTTGCAAAGTGGCATGAAGTAATGAATCAAGCTGGCTTTCATGTTCATCGGATGCCAGGCTGCTGAAACATCATGTAGTATGCATGTGGAAGTTGCAAGACTTTTACCCTATCACGTCTCTCACCCACGGATCAAACGTAGTAACGTGCTGGTGTATGTAATGTAAAAAAGCTACACCCGATAAACATGGAAATGAAAACACGAAGTTTATATAATGTATAGGGTGCTTGCGAATTACCCAATTTCGTAGCTGCATTTTTATCTAAGCGAGACGCGTAAGCGGAATCGCAATTACTATTACTTTTTCCTTTTTATCTTTAAGTTTTACGTGTATATGTTGAAATCACGAAATGTAATAAAATTCATGTATTGCAACATATACAGGGTGTCCGATATAAAGATCATAACAACAGTTAAGGGTAGATTTCTAAGATCATTTTAAGTAAAAAATCCCAGTACCGGAATGTCGAGGCTATAACAGTTTTTGGATTATAAGCATTTAAAGTTAGCGAATCATATCGCCTAAAATTCGCACGTTTAGATGTGATTGGCATTAATTTTGCATGGCATTGGCTGCGTTCAGCAGAGAAAGTAGCTTTGCAACTGTTGTAAAATTCTTCAATATGATTGGTTCTTGCTTTTGGAAAATTATAGATCTAAACGTATAAACCAATTACATTGAAGAATTTTACAACAGTTGCAAAGCTGCTTTCTCTGCTTAACGCAGCCATTTACCTATCACTGAACGTGCGAACTTTAGAACATATAACTTTATATGATTCGCTAACTTTAAATGCTTATAATTCAAAAACTATTATAGCATCTAGTATTAGGATTTTCATCTTAAAATGATCTTAGAAATCTATCCCTTAAACGTTGTTACAGTTTTTATCGGACACTCTTTATCGGATACACATAAAACTTAATGACAAGTAATAATAATTGTAATTCCTTTGTGTTTTTCTATAAAATAAAATGATAACCTTAAGAGAGATATATATTAGTTTCAAAACTAATATCTAACTTTTCTCTCTAAATTTATTCATTCTATATATTATCTATTCAAGATCGAAAATTTTTTAAGACATTAAAGTTTAAGTATTTTAATTGGGACATAATTTTTTGCTAAAAGATCACCGACGAAAGGAAAACTGTAAAAGTATTCAGAGAACTTCAGCTAAAATTAGGCGCAAGCTATTTCTATTAACTTCATATACAGATTTTTAAAAATCTCTATTTCACTTCTGCGTAATTAAATTAAAATAAAAAAAACTGCGGATCAAACAAACCCCGATAGCAATAAGCAGACATTATTGTCATCATTTTGACGTCAAAATATCGTCATAAGTGTTCTTTTAACGTCAAAATGACAATAAATAGTACGTTACCCAGACAGCACAGAATATTTATGAAAATATTTATTAATATTCATTTTTTTTAAATGTTATATGGGTATTTCATACATATTTTATATTTTATTTGAAATATTATTAAAATATAGACCAAATATTTTATGTAATATATATGATAAATATAAATAAATATTTCTAAAAAGTATTTTTTACTTTGATTATAATGTATCATTAAGTATTTTCACAGGGCATCATTAAGCATTTTACTATAACATTTACAATAAATATTTCATATTATAATAAATGTTTATGATCTGCAATCTAAAACCACAAAAATATATTTACAAAATATTTAAAATAAATCTTACAAATATTTATAAACATTTTGTAAATATTTTATAAATATTGTGTGCTGTCTGGGTAGCTTGCTAACGGGAATATACGATCGAGTTAGTTATTTGCTCAGTCAAGTTGTCGCTTTTGAACGCTATCACGTTAAAAAAAATATTGGCTGAGACGTTTCAGACATGATGGGTCTACATACATCATTCAAACAAACCCTCGATTATCTATATTAGAGATAACTAAATTAGATTCCATATTGCTTACAAAATCCAGACACCGATAAATGGAAACTAGACATGAATGTTAATGCGTTAATCGTCCTCGAGACGACCGCTTGCCGGACCGACTTTGCGGCGCGACGCGACGCCCAGGAAGACCGAAGACACCGATTGACCCATTATAGCTTGCAGGATTCTGTTCTAATCGGAAACAATGTCCTTGGTAAGTCATGCCTACTCAGCCCGAGCAACTGTAAAAATGATGCCGGTGCTCCATTTAAAATTTTCATTTCGGTCGCCGACGAGCGGGGACAAGAGATTTCCCATTTAGCGGTTCCGGTGACACAAAAAATATTTTATTAATTTTTAAATTTATGGATTGTAGATGCTTGAGAAATATACCCATTCTTGCGAAAGTCTAAGGAAGACTCTGATGAAGTTTGAAAGATGTCAATGGACATCAATATGTGATGTCATGTCATTAAGTACGAAGTGCCAAAGAACGCAGCCAGTCAAATATGTGAACTTTAAAAAATATAAAAACACCTAAAATTATAACCCAGACAGAATATTTATGATAAATATATTATTTTATGATAAATATATTATTTATGATATATATATTATTAATATTCATTTTTTTAAATGTTGTATAAATATTACATACATATTTTATATAGAGCTTTATTTGAAATATTAAAATATAGACGAGATATTTTATGTAATATTTACGATAAATATAAATAAATATTTCTAATGAGTATTTTTTACTTGGATTATAATGTCTCATTAAGTATTTTCATAGCATTTACTATACCTAACACTTAGAATAAATATTTCATAATATTTATAGTAAATGTTTTTAATCTGTGCAATCTAAGACCACAAAAATATTTACAAAACATTTAAAATAAAGATGGTCATAGCATTCCACGTAAAATTATCTTAAAAATCCTCTTTTGAAAAAAAGAAGAATAAAAAGAACCCTAGAAGTCTTAATTATTTTTACATTCCTCTATCTCAGAAGAATATAAATAATGTAAAAATTCAACTCTATACAAACTATTAAAAAATATAACTATAAAAATAAAATTTATTCGGGATGTTCTAAGCATCTCACACTTACCTAAACTGGAAACAAAATTTGCAGATTTGAAATAAATATTTATTCAAAATAAAACAGTTATGTAATCGAACAAATATATGTTTACATTTAGTAAATATTTCGTTAGTACTATTGGAATAAATATTTATTTAAAATCTACAAATTTTTTTTTTCTGTATATTTAAAGATCATATGGTTTACATTAATGAAATAAGAAAAGAAGTCGCTCGTCACTTAATTCGATGTCGCCGCATGGTTTCCGGTCGTAGAACAAGTGAGCCCTTTCGGAGGTGAGCCCTTCTCGACACCGTGAACCGAAATCGGCCGACGCGAGGGTGAAAATGAGGGTGTAGGGGCCAGGCAGTTTACGGTTGACCGCACGCCCTTCCGTATGCAGGCGGCATTAGCCGTGTGCCACGCGATTAAGGGAAGCTGACAAGTAAGCCGGTGTTTAATGAACACGTCTCCGTTGCTCAAGATTATCATTGAGCTGAGTGTTTATAAGGGAGGCGGCCACCTTTTCGGCCACCATAAGACGCACACGCATCATCGAGTAACAATCACCGGCACGGGCGCACGGTGAGTACCACGTCGACCTTTCATCATTTTTTTACACCGTACTGAGAAGGAACGAATTTAACATGTAAGGAACACGCACACGCATACACGTACACGTCGGCCTTTAATCAATTGTAATTAATTCGAACGTCGACCTTTAATCAATTGCAAATATACATTCGCGATTATAGGACCGCGACTTAAGGCTCTCGTGTAGTTCGTTTTGAATTAAACCTCTGTATTATCGAATATATTCTCAGAATTATTCTTGAATTTAAAATTTAATAAGGTTTTAATTTAATTTAACCCTCGAGGTGTAAAATATGTATCTTCTAAGTTAACGGAAGCGTTATTGCAATAGTAAAATTTGATGATATACGATCAATCGTGTGACTCACTGTTAGGTCATTGTCTTATTAAAAATTACCAATTAATATATAAAGCTCTTTTATAATTTGTGAAATTTGCACAGTAAACTGTCTTCATATGGAAAAACGATTTTGTGGTATTGCATTAATTATGTTTGAATTTCTTACATAAATATTTTAGTAGTTTAATAATATTATTTTCAGATCTGTATCTAATTAAATTTTTATATACTTTAGAAAAATTATTCTTTCCGCACATCACTGTCGACTCCAATAATAGTTTAATTTAGTCACTCAAACATGCTAATTAGAGCCGTCCTAATAAAAATAATCAAAGATTTCAATGCGGATAATGTGATCCTTGATAAAGATTCATTTATTCTCGATTCTTACTTATTAACGTCGTTGTTT